TGCTCCCTAATGGGACAAAAATAATTATAAATGACGCTTTATACTCCAGCAAATCGCGGAGGAATTTATTGAGCTTTAAAGATATGCGTCAAAATGGTTATCACATAGAAACCATGAATGAAAACCAAAAGGAATATATTTTTCTTACGACAACTAAATCTGGCACTAAATTTATTTGTGAAAAAATGTCAGCATATTCCTCAGGACTATATTTCACATATATTAGTCCATTTGAAATAAATTTGGTTTCTAACACAAAGTTAGATGATCAGAAAACATTCATGTTGTGGCATGACCGTTTAGGTCACCCAGGCCAGGTAATGATGCATAAAATCATTAAGACCTCACTTGGACACCCATTAAAGAATATCAGGGTTCCATTATCAAGTGATTTTCCTTGTAAGGCCTGTTCTCTTGGCAAAATGATCATCAGGCCTTCTATAAACAAAATTGCAACTGAATCACCTGCATTTTTAGAAAGAATTCAAGGAGATATTTGTGGGCCGATAGCCCCACCATGTAGACCATTTCGATATTTTATGGTTTTGATTGATGCTTCAACACGTTGGTCACATGTCAGTCTTTTATCGACTAGAAATTTAGCATTTGCTAAACTCCTTGCTCAAATTATAAGATTAAGAGCTCATTTTTCGGATCATTCTATAAAAAGAATCCGACTTGATAACGCGGGAGAATTTACATCTCAATCATTTAACGACTATTGTATGTCGATTGGGATTGATGTGGAGCACCCTGTTGCTCATGTCCATACACAAAATGGTCTTGCTGAATCTTTGATTAAACGATTACAATTAATCGCCAGACCATTATTAATGAAGTGTAACTTACCTTCATCAGCTTGGGGACATGCTATTTTACATGCAGCAAATTTAGTTCAGCTTAGACCGACTGCATATCATGAATATTCCCCAATGCAATTAGTTACTGGACAAGAGCCAAATTTAGCACACATTAAAATATTTGGTTGTGCTGTTTATGTTTCGATTGCTCCACCTCATCGTACAAAAATGGGTCCTCAAAGAAGGTGTGGAATTTTTGTCGGATTTGAATCTCCCTCAATAATAAAATATCTCGAACCGATGACTAGTGACCTATTCACTGCACGGTTTGCAGACTCTCATTTCGATGAGGCAGTGTTCCCGACCTTAGGGGGAGAAAATACTAAATTAGACCCAAGTACGAAAGAGATTACATGGAATGCAATAGGATTATCACATCTTGACTCAAGATCAAATATATGTGAGCAAGAGGTACAAAAGATTTTTCATTTACAAAATGTTGCAAATCAGTTGCCTGATGCGTTCACAGATACAAAGAAAGTGACAAAGTCACATATTCCTGCCATGAATGCCCCTGCCGGAATTGAAATCCCAACAGAGAATTCTGAAAAATCTCTTGCAAATGATTCTTCTATACGCAAAAAGCGTGGCAGGCCACTTGGATCAAAAGACATAAAACCAAGAAAAATTAAAAGGCAAGAATTGATCTGTGATGCCAAAGATGTTCATCCTTCTGAACAAGAACATGAACAATTTGAAAATACTGGCATAGAAAATGATATTGGCAAAACAAACATCTCAAATGATGATCCAACTTCCTTAAACGAGGAAGATATTCCAGATAATGATAGAAACGTTGATAATTATGAAATTTCAATAAAATACGTTTCTACTGGAATGTAATGGAATCGAAAAGATATTGATGTTAATGAGATATTTGTCTATGCCATTGCCACAAATGTTATGAATGAAAATAATGACAACGAGCCAACATCAATAGAAGAATGTCGGAAATGACATGATTGGCCAAAATGGAATAAAGCTATTCAGGCTGAATTAAAATCACTTGAAAAACGTGATGTTTTTGGACCGATAGTCCCTACGCCAAAAAGCGTAAAAACAGTGGGCTTTAAATGGGTATTTGTGCGTAAACGCAATGAGAAGAATGAAATTGTAAGATATAAAGCCTGACTTGTTGCCCAAGGTTTTTCCCAAATGCTGGGAATAGATTATGAAGAAACTTATTCTCCAGTAGTTGATGCAACTACATTAAGGTTTCTCATTGGCATGCCTGTTTTTGAAAGGCTGCAAATGCGCCTAATGGATGTAGTGACCGCATATTTATACGGTTCACTCGATACAGACATTTATATGAAAGTTCCCGGTGGATTTAAAATGCCTGAAGCTTATAGCTCGAAACCTCGAGAAATGTTTTCCATTAAACTACAAAAGTCATTGTATGGACTAAAACAATCTGGACGAATGTGGTATAATCGTCTCAGTGAATACCTTCTCAAAGAATGAAAGAAAGATATAAGAACGATCCAATTAGTCCATGTGTTTTCATTCGACAATCAAATTCAGGATTCACCATTATTGCAGTATATGTTGATGACTTAAACATTATTGGAACTCCCGATGAGATTGAAAATACTGCAAAATATCTTATGAAAGAATTTGAAATGAAAGATCTCGGGAAAACCAAATTTTGTCTCAGACTTCAAATTGAGCATTTGAAGAATGGAATTTTCATCCAACAATCCAATTACACCGAGAAAGTTTTGAAGAGATTCTATATGGACAAAGCTCATCCATTGACTTCACCAATGGTAATTAGATCTCTTAACATACATGATGATCCATTCCGTCCCCGAGAAGACAATGAAGAAATACTAGGTCCCGAAGTACCATATCTGAGTGCTATCGGAGCATTGATGTATTTAGCTAATAATACTAGACAAGATATTGCATTTTCTGTAAATTTATTAGCTATGTACAGCTCATGTCCAACAAGGCGTCATTGGAACGGGATCAAACACATATTCCGTTATCTCCGCGGTACAGCCGATCTCGGTCTATTCTACCACAAAGATGAAAAAGTCGCTTTAATCGGATATGCAGACGTTGGATATTTATCAGATCCTCAAAAGGCCAAATCACAAACCGGGTACGTATTTACTTATGGCAATACCGCAATCTCATGGAGATCTATGAAGCAGACATTGACAACTACATCATCAAATCATTCGGAGTTAATTGCATTATATGAAACCGGAAGAGAATGTGTGTGGCTGCGGTCTATGATTCAACACATCCAAAATGAATGCGGTATGAAGCCTATTACTTGTCACCCGACTGTGATCTACGAAGACAACACTGCGTTCATAGCTCAGATTAAAGAAGGTTACATCAAAGGAGACAGAACAAAACACATATCACCAAAGTTCTTCTCTACTCATGATCTGGAGAAAGAAGAGACGATCAACATTCAACAAATCAGATCTAGTGAAAATCCGGCTGATCTCTTCACCAAATCTTTACCCTCAAAGAAGTTCATAGAACTTGTGCAGAAAATCGGCATGCGCCGCCATCAAAATTTATGTTAATTTCAAGGGGAGTATTTGAATGCACTGCACTCTTTTTTCCTTCATCAGGTTTTTATCCCACATGGTTTTTCCTGATAAGGTTTTTAACGAGACAGTACGTCCAAATACAACGACATTATAAGTCGTAATCTTTAAGCCTTAATTTTCACAATAAATTTTTAAAATAATAAATATCTATTCAAGGATGAGCATTCAAGGGGAGTGTTATAAAATCCTGAGAATAACAAGTGTGAATTGTTCATCGACATCAGGACACTAATCCAATTTCCATTCTTGTAATAGACAGATGGCTAAGTTTAATGTTGCCACCAAATTATGTAGAATCATTCTTTGATGATTCATCTCCTAGCCAACTAGTATAAATAGGGGATCAATCCTTTGTAAAGCCATTGAGAAATTCAAGAAAATATTCAGATATTAAGAAAAAGTAATTTAGAGGTTTTTATCTTTATATCTATCTCTTAAATTTGCTCTTCATCTTCTTCATTTCACAACAAACACAAATTTATACTCCTAATATGAATCTATGGTGATACAAATTTATACAACACTTTTGGTAAACCACCTGTGTTTAGTTTCAAGTTTGAACACATTGTTTAGTGTTACAGTCTCCTGAAATAAATTTCCAGTTACTATCTCTAATAAAATCATCTTTCTTGTCCGTTAACTATTATGTATCCTGGTTTTACTTTCACTTAGGACACATTGATAAGAAGTCTTTTAAAAAATATATGTGATGTATACAAAACATTAACATATGTCATACCTCATTCAAAAAACATTGAACCTCTATACTCCCTTAGAATCGGCTACTGTCTCAAACAGTATCACAGCCCTCACTTGCAGAGCCCCTGAAGACCTCAAATTGTGTCTGGTTTCACATGTAACCCATCCAGATTTCTAGTAGAGTACTACTGTTTTTCCTTCACTACTGTGTAATAAATTTTCCAATATTTATATCCAATAAACACTGATGTGTGATTATTTATATCCAATAAACACCGGTGGGCGTAGCTCAACTGGTAGCAAGGGAGTGCCACAAGGGTTAGGTCCCGGGTTCGAATTCCGGCAACTGCGATGAGAGATTACTATGCTAAAAATGCATAGTGCCTTTTCAAGTACCGGGGACAGAGCCTCATTCTCTATCTGTCAGATTGTTATTATAGTCCAATTTTACATCCAACCTACCGTCCGGTCGGTGTTGGGGGGCCCTCAGGGACGGGGTGTCATCCTTTTTTACTGATGCGTGATTATTTTTTCTGTGCATGTCATATGCTCAATAATAAATGTGTGAGTGGACAATTATCTTGGTTTTTTAAATATGAATAGTACTCTGGAAACACTCACATCTTTAACCGCTGAATAAAGCATCGTAAAGCGCAGTAGAAATTTAATCTTGCTTGTACTCTCCCATTTGAATGAACAATTTTAGGAGCTTGCATTTAAGATTGATTTGATTAACAAAACCAACCGCTAATCTGAATTAATTCGTAGGTCACAATTTTATAATACAGAACATTTATTGCAGTAGAGCTGAGCTCTTAATGGTAACCCGACCCGACCCATTTTTGGCTTGATGTTTGGGTGGGAAGCTCGAAAGTGGCCAAGTTTTCTATTGCTTTTGTATAATAGAAGATATAGATATAAAGTTGTACTTTTTCTTGTAAAAGAAGAAAAATGAAATTTATTCCTAATTTAATTTGGGGAGGAAAACAATAAAATCCTGCTTGGATAGAGCATGAAAGATTGGTCCGGGTTTGAGGAAGACAATGGTAGCGGTGAAAATTGCTGCAAATCAGAGAGGCAGATTGACTTCTTCTCCATTCCGTTTTATCCACTCCGCGAAGTTCACCTCTCCAGCATCACATTCAACTCTTTCCTCAAAAGAATATCATGGTTCTAAAGCAGGTAACTTTACTCTTTCTTATGCTATTTTTTTTCTTTTCATGTTGTTTTTACTGTTTTGTGAATTTCCAGTTCTCATTTTGTTTCAAAATATCTCTGCTTGAACACATTTGATGGGATTTTCTTACTTCAAAAGTGTTTAACATTTTGAATAATGCAATAGTCACTTTGCTCTGGATTCACCTGCTAAAATGTTCGGCTTAAGTTAGATAAGAATATAAATGTAATTCTTTTTAGTATGTTTTATTTTTCAGTTATCAGGTACATTTTTATTTAATGTTGTTTTAATTTATGACTGTATTCTATGTAAGAGTACAGTTTCCCAATTATACATTCTTCCAAAATTTTAAAGCTGCTTTCATGCATTGTATTTCCTTTTTAACGTTTTGATGGAAAAGTAGGATATCTTTTGAGGGTTCTTATAATCTATGCCATAAACTTAATTCTCATGAAAAATATTACAGACTATCGATTGCTCCTGTGCAGTCTTGAAGCATGCAAAAATCCCCCCAATTTAAGGATTACGACCACAACACATTGCAAAATGATCAAATCGAGCTATGCAATGAATCCATCACTTCTGCGGTTGTTGATAATAGCATATTTATCCTGTAATTACCTGGACCCTGCCCGCGAACTGGTCAATGAAATTTTGGAATGGGATTTTGATGTCGTCTCTGGAAATTTGATGATTGTGAGTTTCATGAAGGTGAAGGAAGTCGATGCTGCAAAGTCAATATTTACCAAAATGCCTTCTCGGGATGTGGTCACGTGGAACTCAATGATTGGAGGTTATGTAAAAAATAGGTTATATAATGAGGCGTTAAGTGTTTTCAAGAAGATGCTTATATCTGATAAGGAACCTGACCCATACACATTTGCATCTATAATGACAGCATGCGCGAGACTAGGGGATATCAGTAATGCTAAGTATGTTCATAATTTGATGATCGAGAGTAACATCAAACTTAATTACATCTTATCGTCTGCGTTGATCGACATGTACTCAAAGTGTGGAACCATTGAGACTGCGAGAGAGATTTTTTCCCGCGTGGACCGTGGTAACATTTGTGTTTGGAATGCAATGATTAACGGGCTTGCGACACATGGTCTTGCTTCAGAAGCCGTTAAGGTTTTCTCGGAAATAGGGACCAAAGGCGGCGTTTGCCCCGATTCAATAACATTCATTGCACTTCTAACCGCTTTTAGTCACTCTGGGTTGGTCGAGGAGGGAAAAAGACATTTTTATTTAATGAAAGAAGAGCCATTCTCGGTTCAACCCCAACTTGCACATTACGGGGTGATGGTTGATATTCTTGTGAGAGCGGGACTTCTTAGTGAAGCTTATTCGATGATAAAGGAGATGCCAATGAAACCCGATGTGGTTATATGGAGGACATTTCTAAGTGGTTGTAGGATCCATAAGAACTCTGAGCTTGGGGAAGTCGCTGCCGCCCAAATATCACACCTCAGCAGTGGAGACTACGTGTTGATGTCAAACATATATTGCTCTGTGAATAAGTGGGACAGTGCAGAGGAGTTGAGACTTGCAATGAAACAAAAAGGCGTGCGTAAAAAGCGAGGGAGAAGTTGGGTGGAAATTGGTGGCATCATCCATGTGTTCAAGGCAGGCGACCGATCCCATCCGGAAAGCAGCGCTATATACAAATCATTGGATGTGTTGATTAAACTAACGAAAATGAAGGGGTTTCGTCATGAGACAGAGTTGGTATTGATGGATATATCTGAGGAGGAGAAGGAAGAGAATTTGGATTTGCATAGTGAAAAGTTGGCACTTGTTTATGGAATCTTGAAGGCTGGTGCTGGGGATTGTATTCGGGTTACGAAAAATCTGCGCACTTGTCCGGATTGTCATTCGTGGATAAAGGTGGTTTCAAAGGTGTTGAATAGAGTTATAGTTGTGAGGGACCGTGTTCGTTTCCATCACTTTGAAGGCGGGTTCTGTACTTGTGCAGACTTCTGGTAATTGCTTTTCCTAAGGAAATCTTGGATGTACAAATCAGCGCTATATACAAATCATTGGATGTGTTGATTAGACTAACGAAAATGAAGGGGTTTCGTCATGAGACAGAGTTGGTATTGATGGATACATCTGAGGAGGAGAAGGAAGAGAATTTGGATTTTCATAGTGAAAAGTTGGCACTTGTTTATGGAATCTTGAAGGCTGGTGCTGGGGATTGTATTCGGGTTACGAAAAATCTGCGCACTTGTCCTGATTGTCATTTGTGGATAAAGGCGGTTTCAAAGGTGTTGAATAGAGTTATAGTTGTGAGGGACCGCGTTCGTTTCCATCACTTTGAAGGCGGGTTCTGTACTTGTGCAGACTTCTGGTAATTGCTTTTCCTAAGGAAATCTGCAATTTTAGTATTTTGTATGGGAGGTTCAGGTCCTCAACACGGAGTATGCTTATAGAGACGCCACAGAAAAAAAGGAAGGCAGGAGGATGTCATGAATCCAGCTTTGCGTAAGGTTCTTGCTGCAATTTCTTTGCCTTTCTCAACACGGAGTATGCTTATAGAGACGCCACAGAAAAAAGGAAGGCATGAGGATGTCATGAATCCAGCTTTGCGTAAGGTTCTTGATGCAATCTCTTTGCCTTCCTTCCCAGTCATTTTGTTTGTTTGTTTTTCCTCTAAAACATGTCAAAAGTATTTTTCATAACCACATTTTGTTTGCATTAAACTTGTTTATTTTACTTCGGTGCTAAAACCACATTTAGTTTAGTAGGACAGGTGAAGTAAACACACAGGTTTCTTACAAACCCAAACAGGTGCTTAAAGTGTCGTTTGCTAATCATATCATCCTCATGTATTAATTAAGCGGCAAATTAAGTTTCTTCAATTTCCGCATTACCTTACCGCTATCCCTTGCTCTTACCTTGACTGTTACCCCTACCCTTACCCCTACTACTCAACCCAACCCTACCCCCACCTCACCCCACCCACCCCCAATCCTACCCCTACCCCCTACCCTTCTCTCGTACGCTGTTACCCCTACGGGGTAGGGGGTACGAGGATGTGTAAGGGTAGGGGCTAGGCCCCCACGTATTGTATATATTTGTGTATACATGAATGCCCGAGAATGTTTTGAGAATAAGGCTTGGATGTTGTTGTTGTTGTGTATACATGAATGTTTGTGTCCATATATGTACATTGTTTTTTGGACATTTTAATGTCAAACGGTGATCTAAATCCTGTGAAGTAAGCATGAGCTTATAGCACTGCTTACTTTACATGCCACTTATTAACGCTGATCTTAATAAGCACCGCATAATAACCTATGAAGTAAACATGTCTGTAGTATCTCTCTTTTGCGTTAATTGTTGGAGTTAGACCTGAAGACTCGGAGACCAGTCCAAAGTCAACAGGTAAAGCTCAAGACTCGGTGATCAGAGCTCGCTAAACTTTTCTACTCTCTTTTCTAGTGCATTGTTTGTGTTCGCTTCTACTTTTGAGAAGTGATTAAATTTAGAAATTATATGAAAATCATTAATAGTAAAATTCAATAGTGTTTGAGAAGAAAAATGATTTTGAAAAAGTAAAATTAAGTGTTCAGTAAAAAAGTTTTTAGGCATTATCATTACAACAGTGCCGCAAAGGCTCCCACCAATGGTGGGGTAGGGGGGGTTTGATGTACGCAGTCTTACTTCTATATTAAAGCACAGAGAGACTGTTTCTGAATGACATATTGTAAAAATCGCGTCAAAAATTGCATGAACTGACTGCTGCTTCATAACAAAGAAGCGCAAACATTTTAGTGAGTCATTTTGCTTTATTCCATGATTCCATCATATTCCCAAGCCAAAAAATAGTGAATGGTTGGCTCCATTGCAAATGATGGAAAGGTAAAAGAGTTTTTAGTGTAGTAGAAAAAATGCTTGTTTTTAGCTTTAGAGCATGCATGAAACAGTTTCCAGTTTTTAGGTTTAAACTTTAAAGCGCTTGTTTTAATGAAAACACCTCTTTAATTTTTTTTGAACTAAAAGCCGAAAAATACTTTCTCAACAATGTAAAACATTCCTTAAACTTCTTTGTACTTAGCGTTGTTAAACTAATTTTTACACGCATATTAGTTTCACATTTTTGTTGTTGTTTACCTCATATCCAGGGGCGGACCTGATGTTGTTCGAAGGTGTTCACATAAACACTCAAAAATTTCAATTTCTATATCAAAACGATGTCGTGTTGTGCAATTTAAACAAAAATTGCCGTTGTTTTCAGGCAAACCTCACAGCTAGCGAACCTCGTTGCTCCAGAGTTTCCGACTCCTCAATACTCACCACTGCATAGCTAGCGAACCTCGCTGGCTCGCTCCTCACCCGCCTCTAGAATCCGCATTTATCTCTTTCACGGCTCCAACAGTCCACCGCCTCCACTCCTGGTAGCCTCTTGGCCTCCTTGTCCACTAATTACAACCTCATTTTCTAAACCTAAACTCAAATTCGCACCATTTTTTTCTACTGCTAGCCTTTCGCTAAATGGTTAATTTTATTTCAGATTGAGAAAATATTGGGATATGGGACCTGGGAAATATATAATTAGGTTGTTAGTGCCTTAACACTTGGTGGTTCTATACAAATTGAAGCTCAGTAGACTCGTTACCTGGTAGCCTTTATTCATTCTCCATAAATAGTTAATTGGACGAGTCATAGGTAATTAGTTATGAGGGTGAGAATAGTTTTTTGGTTAATTTATTGGTGTGACAGTACTTTTGTTTGCATAATTTATTGGTTTGACAGTAAGTTTTTGGCTTAATTTATTGGCGTGGGATTATAATTTTCTCCTTAATTTGTAGGTGGTGGACCTGATACTATTGTTGTTTTCTGTTTTCTGTTCTTTTTTGGTGTGGCTGTGTGGTTCTTTGCTTAATTTTTTTGCAAAAATAATGATACAATGGTAGCATACTGCATTACATAAGGTTGTTGTCACAGTTCGAATTTTATTTCAGTTTTGAACACCTAAAATAAAAGAACCTGATCTGCTTCTACAATTATAGCTCTCAGAGTATCATGAATAAGTTGGAATAGCATGAGCATTGGACCAGATTTATCCCCAGACTAGACGCCCGCATCAAAGATAGAGTGGATGATGAAATGCTTTCTTGTAATATCTGTTGCTATCTTTTTCAGGGGGAGTCCCCATTTCTTTCTAAAATTAGTGTTTTCTTCAAGTCGCAGATTCTCGCAAAGTCTAGACAACTCAAATCTGAGTTGTATAATACTTCTAAAGGTGATCGCTCGATCTCTGAGTATCTTCTGAGTATAACCTTATGTCGAACGGAGAGCCTATTTCTGTTAAGGATCATATTAATGTCATACTTGAAGGTTTACCTGAGGAATACGAGTCACTAGCCTCTTCTATTTCATCACGAAGTATCCTTGATCCACCTACTTTGTCTGAAGTTGAAGCTCTTCTAGCTGCCAAGGAGTTGCGTCTGAAGAAGCTCAATGAATCCTCACAATCTACTATATTTTCTGCCAATGTAGCTCGTCTACAACCAGATCCTGTAAACACAAATCATGAACCTGAATCTCCCTCAGGTGTAGAACCTACTTCTGCTCATGTTACTCAGTTTCACACTTCAAATAGCAATGATTCCTACAGAGGTAGAGGCCGTGGAGGTCCTATGAGAGGTCGAGGTGGTAGATTTGGTGGTCGTAGTTCAGTGATATGTCAAGTATAGGGTTGGGTCCGAAAAATCGAAAACCGAAAACCGAATCAAATCATACCGAACTGTAGCCAAATAAAACCGAACTGCTAACAAATCAAAATCGAATGTAAAAAAACGAACCGAATCGTAGTTGTTTGGTTCGGTTTTGGTTTTTACCCTTCAAAACCGAACCGAACCGAACAAACCGAACTAGTTAAAATATACGGAGTAAAATTTATTTGTCCATTGTTAAGCATTAATCCTAACTAATCCTAATATCATTAATAGTTTTTGGTTTTCTTGTGCTAGAGAAATAATGTTTGTTATGTTTAGTGTAGTTTGTGAATTCATTTACACATTCATTGCACGTAATAATGTAGCTATACTGATAATATGTTTTTACTTGTTATTAGTATTAATTAACTTTTATTTTTATTTAACTTAAAGAATTCGTATTGATGAAACAATAAATATTTATCTCAACTATATCACATATAACGTATATACTCATGAACTTTTTTTGAACTAGTCACAAACAAAGTAAATTAATAATATATACTTTTATCTCTCTTGCATACTCATATAATTCATGACATATTTATTTATTTTCATTTTTATTTTATTTGTTGTAGTGTGCTTGCATTCTTTATGTAATATATGTTTGATCCCTCAAAGTATTATATCATTTTTAAATCAAATGATAATTTTTTGGTAAAAAATCGAAAAACCGAAACCGAATCGAAACAAACCAAACCAATCAAACCGTGGTTCCAAGTTTTGGCGTGTAGAACCGAACCGAAACCGAACCAAACTTTTTACTTTGATTCTATATTTGGTTTTAGGTCAAAACCGAACCGCAAGAACCGAACCCACCCCTAGTCAAGTATGTGGCAAATCTGGTCATCATGCATTAATCTGCTACCATAGATTTAATCCTTCGTATTCTGTTGTACCTGCATCTACAAATCCTCATCCCTATTCTTCAACTCCAACAACCTCTCCTCACACTTCTCAGCCCTATCATTCAACCCCAACAGTTTACACTCCAAATCCTCCTAACACCTCAAATTCTAATCCACATATCTTCAACTGGCCTCAGCAATCCTACAGTCCTGCACCACTACAAACCTACAATCCTAATACACAACAATCAGTCTCTCAGAATACCTACAACCCATCTCCCACTGTTGCCTGGGCATCTGCAACTCCTTCCATTCTAGGACCACCTCCACAACCTCAAACTTGGTTCCTAGATTCTGGTGCCACTCATCATGTGACTGCTGATCCATTGAACCTGCAACATAGTGAACCTCTTGTTACAACTAATAAGCTTTTTATGGGAAATGGTCAAGGTTTGGAAATTAAGTCCATTGGTTTTACTTCTTTTCCCTCACCTTATCAGTCTTCTTTAGCCTTGTCACTTAATAACATTTTGCATGTTCCATCCATTACTAAAAAACCTCTTAAGTGTCGGTCAGTTTGCTAAGGATAATCATGCATTTTTTGAGTTTTATCTTTATGAATGCTTTGTTAAATCTCAGGCTTCTAAACAGATCTTGTTGCATTGTATCCTTGGAGAGGATGGTTTATACAGATTTCAGTCTGTTCCAGCTCTTTGTTTCCATCAAAATAACTCAACAACCAGCTCTTCTTCTGTGTCATCATCTTCTTTCAGTTTCAGTCATTCTAGCACTTTTCTATCTACTTGTAATAATTCTAAGTCTTGTAATTCTTCTGAACTATGTCATATTTGGCATTTGAGATCAGGCCATCCTCATTATGAGGCATTGAAATCTGTACTGCAACTATGTAATGTCTCTTCAATCAATAAAGATGTTGTTCAATTTTGTTCTGCTTGTTGTCTAGGGAAAGCACACAGATTACCATCATCTAGCTCTACAACTTTCTATCACAAACCATTTGAACTCATTTTGACAGACCTATGGGGACCAGCCCCATTCTTATCATTTGATGGTTACTCTTATTACATATCCTTTATTGATGCATGATAGAGTATATATCTAGAGAGAAGTGAGAGCTAGAGAGAGAAGTGCAATTAAATGCTTCAATAAATGATTTTGTGAACCCCTACAACTACCTCCAGAGGAAATATTTATAGGGAAAATACGGGCTGGGCTCCCAAGCCTTGGGCTTGGGAGGCCCATTTACAATTGGACCGCTATTGGGCCAGATACAATGCATGTAGAAATGATTAAGTGTAAAATCTAGTTCTATGAGGCTTCCGTGGCCGACGAGGGTCTGGCCGACGAGGGCACGGCCGACGGGGGCACCCAAGTTCCCTGGCTTCAGGATCATATTCTGAGTTGGTCCCTCTTCGGCCGACGGGGGTCCTTTGGCTGACGAGGGCACCACTTGGTGGCTTGTACTTTCTGTTCTTCTGAGTATGTGGGTCCTGGGGCCTAGACCCATATACTCCATCAGGAGTCCCCCACTCTCTAAGCTGAGATGAAGACGAAGTGAAGGAGAGTAGATTTCTGCGCTTGATGCTCTTGGCCGACGTGGGACCGCTCTGGCCGTTTTCTGTCGTGGCGTTGGTGGCCCTGTTCTGGATTTGGCCGTTACCTTCCCCTTGATGTGGGCGGGGAAGGCCGTCCTTCCTTTAGTGCACTTCTTTGTGGACGATGAGTGTTCCGGTCATGAATGGCTGATGAAGGCATTCTTCCCTTCTCACGATTTTCGGTGGCTGAATTTTGTTTTTGGGCCGAGGAGGCCACTGCGGTTGTGTCTTGCTTAAAGACGATGAGCGTCCTTCATCTTGAGTGTCTGTTAAGGGCGCTGTTCACTCCTTCTGACCGTTGTTGGTTAAATTTCGTACTGTTGGCCGAGGACGCCATTGGGGCTACCTCTTTGTTGGACGACGATGAGCGTCCTTTGTTTTGAGTGGCCGTTGAGGGCGCTGTTCACTCCTCCTTGCCGCTGTTGATCACTTACCGTGCCCTTAGCCGAGGCGTGTGTGGTGGTTAGTTGTCCAAGGTCTTGGGGACGATGAGCGTGTTGCGTTTTTTCCCTGGCCAGAGATGGTACTTACAGGGGCCTTGTGGTTGTGTACTTGTGTATTTTTGACTCTTTCCATTTTTGGCGTTTTGAGGCCGGTGTAGTCCCCCCAGTCCCCCACTACTTCAGGCCGAAGAGTGAGTGAGGGGTGAAGGAGTAGTGTGAGACCCAGGCCGGAGCGGGATCCTCATACTGGCCTTGAATTCAACCCTTTGGTGATTTCCTGACCAAGGTAACCCTGTGGGAGAACCCTTGGACACAGGTCGCTTTCAAGGGGTTATCATCAAAGGTTTTGTGTGAGGGCCGATGGCCGTTGGGTTTCCTTCCCTTGGGGTGTTGTGGCCGTTGTAAGGCCTTCCTTTACATAATATGTATGGCCGCTTGAATGGCCGATACGGGTGCTACCTGGGTAGCCGTAGCCTGTGTTGGCCGTTGAATGCCCTGGCCGCTGTGGGTGTTATTTTCCCCTTCCTCGCTCCGTAGAGCCTGCTTTGCTAGTGGGCTGTTGATCTGTGGACTGGGCCTGACCCATTTACGAAGTGGTGGCATCCCATTGGTGGCCGTTGGCGTGGCCACTAGGGAGGTGCCACGTGTAGTGACCGTGGGGGGGGCTCTATAAATACCCCTCCCATTCCGAAGAAAGCCCTCATTTGCGATCTGAGCTACCGAAGTGCTGGCCAAATTTCTAGAGAGATAAAGTCCTTGCAAGTGTTCTTCGTGTTCTTCAAAGCTTCAAAGGTTAGTTCATCGAAATTTTCCTCTGTACTTTGCCTATTTTGCTTCCTAGGCCATTGATCTAGTGTTAGGCGTTGAACACCTTTAGATCTGAAGTAGGTTCCGTTAGGCCCGTAATAGTGTTATGATGAAGAACTTAAATGAAGAGTACTACCCCTACGATGATGAGCCTTCCGCCAAGTCCCTTGATTACGAAGTGGTAGAAGAGTTATGTGAAGAGCTTGAAAATCTGAGCTCGTTCAAATCTGGGGAGCAGGACGATGCAGACGATGAGGACGAGGAGTCTGCCTCATCATCTGGAGGTGGGGACGTAGGAGTCTCCCGAACCGCGGACGGGGCGTCCACGTCGGCTGCTATCCCATGCCCGAAGCCGGTGTCTGCCGTCAAGGGTGTCGCGGTGCCGAAAAGGGTGAGGAGGTCGAAGAAGGGGCCAGCCTTTTCTTATCTGGATCTTGCCAACATCTTCATCATCAGGCCGCAGAGCAACGCGGGTGAATACCTGGTCGCACAGATGTACGTGGGGCCGTTTGGTAGGGTTATGGCCCCCAGGCCGACGGACCATGTTCTCAATCCACCCCCGGGGTACTTTGGAGTGTAACCGATGAGTTTCGCCAAAGGACTTCGGTTCCCGTTGCACCCGTTCATCACCGAGTACCTAGACATGGTAGGGCTCCCTCCGGCCTTGTTGACGCCGAACAGCTACTCGCTCATCGTTGGGTTCTTCTTACGTTGCGCTGAGTTGGATTTTCGGCCGACGACGGCGCTGTTCATGAACCTCTATCAGATAGGGCGTGGAAGTCATCAGAACTGCGCTTGCTATGCCACTCTCCAACAACTGCCGAAGAAGAGAAGCTTCACTGACCTGCCGTCGTCCATCCACGGTTGGAAGAGTAAGTTTGTGTTCGTGTCGTTGGGTGAAGGGGGCGTGGAATTTCCCTCCGTCGGCCACAGTGGGCGGTTCAATCTTCATGATACGCCGAAGAGCTCCATCTTGGACGCTCAGGTTGAAGCTTTCCTGAAGGGAGGGCTGAGGAGCGTGAAGACGTACATCACGGAGTACAAGATGGCCGCCCTCGGCTTCGTGAGGTATTTTGTATATGGTGATAAAGACGATGATGTAGAGTTGTGGCCGAAGATGACCACGACTTACGAGGAGGCTGATGGTCCTAATCTGGGGGTGCCAGTTGAGGACGATGGTAATACCTTTTCGATGCCCTCCTTCTCATCGTAGTTTTATCCTTTTATTTGTTGACCCTTTGTATTTTTTCCGGTGCAGGTTTTGTCATGGATCGCATGTCTTTCATGAAGAGGGCGCAACTGAAGGCGGCCGAAGAGTTGAAAGCCCAGCAGCCCGCTACTGCCCCTGTGACGAAGCCCCCTGTCCAGCCGAAGAAGAAGCGGCCGGCCGATGAGGGCCAGAAGAAACTTACTGAGGCAGGCTTGAAGCCTACCAAGAAGCCGAAGAGGGCTTCTCCTGCTGGTGATGTCGGGACGTTTGTTGTTCCCTCTGGGGACGAAGGTGGTTCTAACGCCGAAGCGTTGGTGGATCT